ACAGGGACCCAGGCTGCTTCCTGCTGCGTGAGGACAGCGAGCGCCGGGCCATTCTGTACAAAATTCTTTGGGAGGAGCAGAACCAGGTGGCTTCCAACCTGCAGGAGTGCGTGGCCCAGGTACAGACCCAGGGGATGGCACCTGCTGGTGTCACCCACTCTGCCCCTGTGCAGGTCACCGAAGAGGTCCAAATGGGAACTAGGGCTCCTGCCGCTGCAGAACATTGGCATAGGTACAACAAGCACCCTAAGGGTTTCCCAGTGTCCCTCCCTTCCCCAGCAAAACAAAAGGAAATGCAAAGGGGCGGGGGTAAACAACTCTGCTGAAACGTGAATTTGCAGAACACTGCGGTGCTTTTTCTGGCATGGGGGGGTGATGCTGCCCCCTGGTGGACAGAAAGCTGAACAGCAGAAAGCCCAGGATGCCAGTGGGGCTCCCGGGGTGGGGGTGGGGGGGGCGTCTCCCACATTTCCATGGGTTTTGAGCCCAGCTCCAGGACACACTAGAGGTGCCCTCGGAAGCTGAGAGGATGGTTGTGCATGGAAACGGTGGAGTTGAACTAGGACACAGGCCTGGCACCCTGAGCCACCCATCCTTCCTTGGCACGGACAAGGTCTTGGAGGGGGAGAGGCTGGCGGGCCACTGTGAGCCAGGCCATCTGACAAGGCCTGGTGGGACAGTGAAGCAGGGAGGTGGAGCCGCTGCCAGAGGGCTTAGTGGCGAGCGCTGAAGCCCCTCACGGGGAAGCTGGGGTGGGACACTGCGGGGCCAGAGGCCCTTTCTCGCCTGGAGACTGCAGAGCCCCTTAGCAAAGGAGCACTCCAGCTCCCCACAGTAGGCCTCAACTTTCCTGGGCCTTTCTCTGACTCCACGAAAATTGTGTGTGTGTGTGTCCCCACCCATCCAGAGTTCAGAACAGCTGCACCTCTCCGTCGGCCACATCAAGCAAATCATCGCGATCCTGAGGGACTTCATCCAGTCGCCTGAACACAGGGTGATGGCGTCCACGATTTCCAAGCTGAAGGTGGACCTGGACTTCGACAGCTCATCCATCAGTCAGATTCACCTGGTGCTGTTCGGATTCCAGGACGCAGTAAGTGCCCCCCTCCCCCCACCATGACCCTAGAGAGCGTGAGGCATTTCTTCAGTGCCAAGAGGCCTGCTGAGGCCTAGCGCTCCCAGCCTGCCTTGCGGGTCCTGTCAGGGCAGCAGAGTAAAAGCAGTAAGAGCTCGGTATTGCTCATGTGCAACAGAGTGGACATCTGGATTTCTGTGATTTTTCAGGTAAATAAAATTTTGAGGAACCACTTAATTCGGCCCCACTGGATGTTTGCAATGGACAACATCGTTCGCCGGGCCGTGCAGGCCGCAGTCACCATTCTCATCCCGGGTAAGAGTTGTGCTCAGGGCAGAGTCTGCTGCGGGCTGTGGAGCAGAGCCCAAGGCCCCTCTGCGTCCCAGGCTGTCGCTCTGTCTTCCTCATTACGGCTTTACACTGCTCTGCAATTAAGGGCATGCTGGCTGAGACCCCTGCTGGGGCTCAGATGACGTGGTAAGAACGTGGCCTTGGCGCATAAGGCAGGCGAGTGCCCACCACCTAAACTCGTGGTCTAAGCCAGAGTGCACGGGGGCCACGGGCAGGGACCCTGCAGGCCTCCCGCTCCCCTTGGCTCCCACACTCTGAGACCCAGGCTGGTTGCCTCCATGCTTCTGAAGGCACGCTGTCGGCTGCCCAGGCCCTCAGTGCTCTCCTGCTCATGGCCTTGGGTGGGGCCTGGTTGTGCCTTTATGAAGCTATCCTTGGCTAACTTCCTTCATCTGTAAATGGGGGCGATCATCTTTCTTCTGCAGAGAACCGTTAACTCCTCTGGCCTCTGCGGCCTCCTGCTGGTGTTGCGTGGGCCAGGCCCACCTCGCAGCAGCTGAGTTGGCGGGCCCGAGCCCCGTCTTGCAGTGTTACTGTGATGACCAGTTACTTCTGTGACTTCCCAGAGCTCCGAGCCCACTTTGAGCCAGCCTCCGAGACAGAAGGGCTAGACAAGGACATGGATGGGATGGAAGGCGCCTGCCCCCTGGCACGTCCTGATGTGAACGGTGCAGCTGGAGGGGGCAGACACGGCTCGGCACCTGCCCAGGAGACCCAGGAGAACCAGGTCCACCAGCGCCTGAACCTCCAGCTGGACACGCTCAGGCAGGAGACCAACAGGTGAGGGTTTCTGTCTGGAACGTGGGTAGGCCGGAGATCGGAACTGAGGCCACGTGGCTTTTCAGGGCTGCGCCCCACTCCCCGCCGGAAGCCAACTGGCCCATCAGTGACCGGGGCCAGGGCGCATTTGCAGCTTCCACTGCCAGCCTCGAAGAGTGGGTGCCCCATGACTGAGGGCTCAGTGTGCTAAGGTGCCTGCCCCAGGCCACAAAGGCCTACTAAAGGGCAGAAGTATTGCCCTTTCTTTCCATCCCTTCGCCAAGACAGGGCCCCTGGCCCGGCGTATGGCCCAGCAGGCTCAGCAGTGGCTGGCTGTCCTCTGCCCCCACAGAAGGAACAGGGTTCAGGGGCCAGGTAGCACAGATGTAGATGGCAGCTGTGTACCCAGCAGCCTGACCCCGAGGGAGTTGGCCTTCATCCTCGAGCATGCAGGCAGCAGTCAGTGGGGCTGCCTTCCCCACCAGGGGGACCCTGGTGCTCGCTTGTGTCTTACCTCCTGGGACGTGGCGGGCACTCAGCACATGCCTAACACAATAGGATTCTGGCTAGTGGCTTCTTAAGCAGTGCAAGCCACAGCTGGAGCACGCCAGTTGGGACTTGGCTGCAGTGCCTCTTCGCTGCCGTATGGTCATGGGTGATACTCGCCGACTGACGTTTAGCGGGGGAGATGAGGTGTCGGGGCCACACACTGTAGCTGAGAAGCTGTATGTGCCCCCATGAATCCTGAAGTGTCATCTTCAGCAGATCCATTCATTTCTGTTTTAAAAGCGCTGTAGTCTTAATGCTGGGGGTAGCAAAATCTTGAATTTGTCAAATGTGACAAATTGATAGCAGTAGTTAGCATTTCTTTAAAATTGTTTCCCCGGTAAGATTCATACGACGGCATACATGGGTTCAGAGGTCCTTTCTCTGCAGTTCCTAGCTGCACTGCTCTCTTCCAGTCCCAGGTTAGGGAGTGGCTAAGCAGCGGCTGCGTGGCCGCTGGGCAGTGACGGGCCTGGAGGTAACTGGTCTGTCCCGGTGACAGTGCTGGGGGCCCTGTCTACCAGGCAGGCGCAGGTATGAGCTTGCATGGTCTCCACTGGTGTGAAGAGGCCTGCTTGAGGAAGGCGCAGGCACGCGGTCACCTCCCCCTCCCCAGCAGCAGCTGGCTTTTCTCCTTTTACATAATGTCAGTGACTTCTCAGGGCCCGTCCATCATTTCAAGCTTACTTCTGGGGTTCTACATCAGAGAACGGGAGCGTGTACTTAGAGGCAAACCCTGTGTCTGTAGCACACGAGCCAAGAAGGCTAGCCAGGGCTCCAGCCTGCCCCACCCCATGCCTGCCTGGAGGTGGCTTGGGGGGCAGGGAGGGAAGTTCTGCCCCTCTCGTCGCCAGGAGACAATGGGCAAGAGTGGGTGTCACAAGGCGGTCCTGCTCTCAGGGTGGCTCTGGGCACACGTCTAACTACCCTGTGCCTGGCGCTGCTTTCCTGGAGTGCTGTGAAGCCTGAAGGACTTAAGGCCAAGTGCTCAGCACAGCGCGGGGTCTTGCGCAAGAGGGCTCGGCCCCTGCGCGGCAGCGCTGCCCTCGGTCTAGCTCTGAGTCTTAGCCTGTCTGCTTTCAGCAGCTGTGGCATAGGGGGAGGACTCCACAGACTCGCCTCGCCTCGCCTCGCGACTGTCCAGGTAGCTTCTGCCTCACAAGCCCGAGACAAAGCTGTCTTAATCCACCCAGGCTGCCAGTAACAAAATGCCGGCGATGGCATGGCGAGCAAGGCGCAGGAACGTGTGTCCCCTCCTGGAGCCTGGAGGCCGAGGTGCTGGCACTTTGGGTGTCTGGCCCCTGCCTCCAGGCCAGCTCCTCGCTGAGCAGCTCTCCAAGGCAACGGATCTCACTCCCCGCCCCCAGCTCACCATGCCTGTGAGGATTGCAGCCCGAGAGTGTGCTGGGGAGGGACACAGAAATGCAAGTCCACTGTAAAGCTAGGTTTTGGGCCCTGGGAAGAGACACGAAGGGAGGCTTTGTGGCCAGCGTGGCACTTGGTCACAGAACCCTGAGGAAACACAATGGCTTCCCGGGTGTTGTTCAAATTTAATTTTCAACAAAACTGGACTTCAGGGAAATGTTAGGCTCTCTGGGCCATGGCTTTTTTTTTTTTTTTTTTTCTTAAACCAGACTTTTGGAACACTTGGTTCAGAAAGAGAGAGAGTACCAGAATTTTCTACGGCAGACTCTTCAACAGAAAACTCAAGAGCTGTATCACCTTCAGTTACAATTCAAGTCTACGGGTGAGTCACTTCCCACAGTTATAAATGTAGCTGCTGTTTGGGATGGCGTATTTCTGTTAAACTAGAGCTTTACATTATATTCCGGAACACTACCCAACACTGCATGTGCAGTCAGAGGCAAATTCAACAGGCTGGATCCTGTGATTCCAGTTTTACAGTAATCTGGGAAAGGCAAAAGCTACAGGGACAAAAACCCAATCAGCGCGGCTAGGGGAGGGGACTGATTGGACAGGACACGTGAGAACATTTGAGGGTAAGAGGGTGATAGAAATCTGTTCTCATACCTCTGGAGGTTACATGACTGTTTATCTGAAATCACTTATACCTCCGCAAATATGGCCTTTCCCGCCACTTAAGTTGTAGCTACTTCCTTGGACTGTGGAATGCCTAAGGTCTGATAGGAGACAGAAAATCTTCACGCTCAAACCTAAGAATCCAGAGAAAGGGCATTTTAAAACCAGGGAGTAAGCATGAGATGGGGCCGGTGGCCCCGAGCGGCGAAGCATCTTCTGACACCACGTCTGCAGTCTGGCAGAGTTTATTACATCTGGCTTGCTGCTTTGGGAGTTTTGTGACGAGACATTCATGTGCAACGCATTCCGAATCCTTACAGGTAATACCGAGCGCCCCGGGCCCTCCCCTGGGCAGAGAGCAGATCAGGAGCTCCTGGGCTGGCTGCACCTGCAGGATGCAGATGCCATCGCCAAGGTACGTTCGGCTCGCAAGCGCCTGCTGCTGCGGGGCCGCCGCGCACCTCTGCCTTACCGCCCACGCCTCTGTTTCAGATTGTGGAAGAGGGCTACACACTTTCCGCCGTGCCGCAGGATGTCACCAACGAGGATCTCAGCTATCTGCGCCTACGGTAAGAGCCTCAGAGCGCTCTGTGCGAGAACCCGTTACCTTCTCCGTGTGAACATACCTGGGCGTAGCAGAAAGCGTGCTGATAACTGTCTACATTAATTCCCTTTGCTGTAGCTTGGTCCGAAGACGAGCTTCTCCACCTCCCCCCCCCCCCCCCCCCGAGTCAGGCATTTTGCCAGGCTTGTCAAGCTGTGGCTGAACCTGAGGGGCAAAGTCTGAAGCAGGAAGGTACACAGTTCAGCCTCCTGCCACCCACCCCCTTGCTGAGGTGCCAGCATGCTATCTCCCTCTGCACCACTTCCTCCTGCCGCCGGGGGCCACCTGCAAACATGCAGAGAATATTTGTCAAAGAGTTTGTGGAAAACGGAATTAATGGTATAAGGGCCAGCCCTGGCCCGCAGCAGGTTAAGCTACTTCTTGGTGATGTGGACATCCACAGGGGAGTGCAAGTCAGCTTCCTGATGACGCAGCAGATGCCAACTTACGTGCTTGGGCCCCTGCCCCTGCCCCGACCAGCCCTGCCCCAGCTACTGCAGGCACTTGGAGAGTGAGCCGTGCTCTGCCATCTTAAAAAAAAAAAAATACAAAAAACTTGAAAGCCACATGTATGGAAAATACATGGTATGAATGAGGTGTAGCTCTTGCAACTTTTCCTTTAGCACTTAAAACCTTGAAAGGCAGTAATTGGCTTGTCAGATGCCCACAACAGCTGGGGCTGGGCAGCCAGGAACTGCAAGCCTCTAAGCCGGCATCTGCAGGAACTGCAAGCCTCTAAGCCGGCATCTGCATGAGCCCGACCCACATTGTTTTTCCACAAACTGTTTGAAGACACTTCCGCCTCTCACTGCCTGCCTCTCCCATTGCCTTCCTAGGGGCGGGCTGCTCTGCAGGCTCTGGAATGCCGTCTCCCAGTACAGAAGACAGCCCCAGCAGTCCTCGGCGGCCAGCAAGTAGGCTGACGGCGACAGAGTGAGCAAATCCCCTCCATGCATCGTTGTCGTTAAAGTGACTGTGAATGTCCCCACAATTTTGTTCCGTTTACACATAAATGCTCTTGTTCAATTAACCCTGGCTGTGTAAAAACTGTCCTCAAATGTTGTTGCATAAACCTGTTTTTAAGATTAGGAGAACGATGCACCTTAGTTTTGACAGCTTTCAGAGAGAGAAATACAAACTGGCCTCCAGGGGTGGGAGAGGGCTCCCTCCACACTACAGCACTTGTTGCCAAGGACACAAGAGGCTGGGAGAAGGGCTGCTCTGGATTTTATGTAGTAACGAGGGTAATACGTCCATAACTATTAATAAAATTCATCACTTGGCTTTTGAAATAATTATAAAGAATTGTCTTCCTGCCAGCTGTAATACTCTCCTTAGGGAGAGTCATGGTGAAGAGGCTGGGTCACGTGGGGAACGCAGCACCGGCCCCTCAGGGCAGGCAAGGAGCTCTTACCCTTCAAATGGTAGCGTACAAGGAGGTGCTGTTCCAAGTACAAAGCTAAAATTTAGGGAAAGGTTAATCTCTATACTGCCCTATCTTCACATCAATGTATAAACTGCATGCAAGTACTCTCCCTTTCCTTTCACCTACATGCCCTTTAGTCTCACTGGGAACGGGGTTCTGTGCGGTTGCTTGGTCTCTCGTTAACTGACTGACTTAAACTTGATCCACTGATTGGCACCGCGAACTTCAAAAGGAGGGTTGCTGCTGTAGATGTGGTGGCCGAGTTCCTCCAGCGGTGGCTCCGGGTCCGCCGTGGCAAACTGGGCAGCGTCCTCAATCTCCTTCCTCACTTCCACGTCGATTTCCTAAAGGTGAGATTGCAGTACAAGAGGGGTTTGCACAGCAGCTTAGGGGCCAAGTGGAGTCCCGACGTCACCATTATACGCATACTACAGTTTTAGGAAACATAGAAACCCTCTGCTCTTAGGGAGGCCACCTTGTGACCGGTGAGCACTCCCTACCCAGGAAAAGCTATGTCCCATAACGTCACACTTTGGACTTAGAGTTGCCACGGTCAGGTGGGAGTTTGTCTGAGGGGAAGGGGAGGAATGGCGAGCCCACCTTTTAAATAAGGCAGTGACTGTACCTTTAATTCTTCAACACTGGCAAGGTTGCTGTTCACCATCCTATCCTTGAGAAGCATGATGGGGTCACTCTTACTTCTCACTTCTTGAATCTCTTCTCGGGTGCGGTAACTGGGGAAAGGAAACGCAGTGGCAGGTGAGACTCGGTCTGGCGGAGAAGTGACATACAGAGTAACTCTGAACGAAGGGCACCTCAGGACCTACGAGCAGACTTCCAACAGTTCATGGAGAGGGACTTACTTGCACACCTCTGTGAACTGTCACCAAGGGGATGGCAGCATTTTACTTTCAGGATGCAGGCGCAGCGCCTGACCTTCTTTAAGAGCTGCTTGTATCTCTTACAGGAAACCCTACACTGCAACTCCCACGGCTTCTCCAGCATGCTAGCATCTGAGCTGCATGGAAGGCTATACACAAGCCGATAGGGGCCGTGAGTGCTGACAGTCACAGGCCCGCTTTTCCACTGCTAAGGCGCAGGGCCAGCATACTTCGCACTTGGAGATGTGGTCGTAGAGCCCTCCTCCACTTCACTGACACACTCGAAAGTAAGGCCCTTTCTTCAACTGTAGCAGAATCCAGGTGACAAGTGTAACTCAGACCTTCCCAGTGTCACCTAGGTTCTTGACCTATGTCAACACAGGAACACCCCTGTGCTCGCTCGCCTTGCATCACCCTATCCCAGGAGCATCCAGAACATGATGTTGGGAGTAGTTTCGTAGGCAGCACTGCTTTCAGACTGTACTGGCTGCCAACAGACCTCCGTGATGAACGAAGCAAACTGTTGGTTGGCTTTAAAAGCAAATGCTGATAGAGTTCACTTTTTCATGGAGTAGCAGCAAAGCCCACTCCGATTCCCATGAGCATACCTGACTCCGGGATCGCTCATACTGTGTCCATGGTAACGGTAAGTCTGCAGCTCCATCAGGATGGGGCCCTACAACAGAACCCAGAGGCAGTTAGAACAGCTTGCCAACAGTCCCGGGTCCCACGCAGAGGTCTTTCCAGCATCTGAGTTGCGAGTTGCCAGGAGACTGATTTTTGCCCTCTTCCCATTTCTAGTGCCTGTATGCTCACGTTCAGTAGAAACGTCAAGTACTCTGCCACCAGGACTACCTAGGCCCATGATGTGCTGTGGGGAGGGGGCCTGCTCATGCTGTGCTAGTCCACATCCCAAAAGCTCTAAACTCCAAGGGGCGGAGGAATGGGCTCTGAGTCCAAGTGCTTAGGTTTAATCCTGGCTCTTAATACAGTAGTCCTGCGCCTCAGTGTCTTCCTGTAGCCATTTTGAAACAATGGTGGGGTTGGGCTGGTGCTCAGGGGGTTTCCAGACCCTTCCCTACTTCCACGATCAGGCCTTGGTTGTGTTGGGAAAGTCAACACCTACGGTAAGCCACCAACCGCGTTTCAACCCACACATTCTTTACAGCAATTGGGAGGTGGCAGCAAGGCCCAGCACATAGGGCCTGCTTCTCAGCCTTAGGCTCCTGCTGTGGACACACGGCCCGTCACAGCCAACCTGGCGTCCTGCTTGTTCCCTTTCTCATCTCGTGGCTGACATTACTCGATTCGCATGAGAGAGAACCTCAGGCATGCATTCTGTGCCATGGAACCCCAATGTAGGGCGAATGATGACTGACCAGCGCTGGCAGCGAAAGCTCTCTGCAGGCCAGTCTCACTGGTGAAACGGAAGACTAGGCTTCTGTACCTGAACCGTACCATTCAGTTTGTACGGAACCATGCTATTACGTCCCTGTGTATCACCCAAGTTCTGTGCTGGGCAGTGTGGAGCTCTCCAGCCTGCTCACCTGGAGGTGGGCAAGAGGCACATCACGAATGCTGAGGAAGACCGGGATACTCCTAGAGGGGCCCTGTCACCCAAACGGACTCTGCTTCTCTCTGCACCTCAATAGCAGCTACCCCCAGTTAGCAACACTGGACAAACGTGAAGCCTTCTTTCATGAATGAGAATGTCATCAGAATGCATTAGTCCCGGGCCCTAAGAAGAGAATCTTACCTTCCCGGATCTACAGTAGGCAGCTGCAAACCTTGTTGCCTCTCGGACACACAGGATATCCATTCCATCTACCTGTTCAGCAAAAGGGCACAGCATGAACACAACTGGACAGAACGAGTTTGTTTTGACACGACCTGTTCACACACAGGAAAACTGAAGAGTTTCATTTTCTTAAGATTGCCAAGCGCACGCCCAGGCATCTAGCCGAGAGGGTATGGCCCTGGCAGTACATGCCCCTACCCTCAGTCCAGGAATAAAGTCGCCTCTCTTGTAGTAATCGGTGCTGGCTGCGGCTCTCTCAACCGATGTTCCCATTCCGTAGCGGTTATTCTCACAGATGAAAATGCAAGGTAATTTCCACAAAGCTGCCATATTGTAAGCTTCGAATATCTGACCCTGGAAATATTTACAACAAGTTGAGACGGTTTCATTTTGCTTATTTCTCTAGACTTCATTATCCATTCTGTAACAGCTGCCGATTTGACATTTCTAGAAAACTTTCATAACATGCAAAGCCTCATCTGCCACAGGCAAACTTTGAGCAGTGAGGGACAGGGGCATGTGTGTCGGGAGAGAGGCAGCAGACATCATACCCTGGCCACCATGAGCAGCCCCCTCCCCCCCCGCCCCGAGGGCACAGAGTTATCGTCAATCAGGTCAGACCCAGTGTCTGAGACACAGCATCTAGAGCCATGAAATGGCAAATTCTTGGACGGGGGCAGAAGCCAGAAACTATACATGTGTGCTCAGGCCCGGTCTCCCAGAGAAAGAGCCTGACTAGTACAGTATTGGTTTGCAATGAATTAGAAATGTTTAAAACAACAACAATTTGCTGTTTTAAATAATAAGCACACACTACTACTTGATATATCAACTCAACTATGAATATCTGACACTTCGTAGGTAACTCACCTGATTAGCAGCGCCATCACCATACAAAGTCAAACAGACCTCATCTTTTCCGTTATACTTACAGGCCAGGGCAATCCCGGCTCCCAGGGGCACCTAACGTCAAGGACAACCAAGAAAGGGACCACAGAAATCCATGAGGGGAGATGCGAATGCTCGGAATTTTAACTCCTGCCCAGATTCTGAGACAGAAATTACCCCACCACTACCAGCTCTCCTCACTCCCAATTCTTCCAACAAGCCCATTAAGTGAGTGAATAAATACTACAGTCTCCAAAGATATGACTAATTCCTAGGGAGTCAAAAAAAACCACAAACCTAGGTTTTTTTTTTTTTTTAAATCACTTTCTAATAGCAATGTATTTCAAAGTAAAGCAAACAATCTAGATATAATCTTATTGTTGCTAGTTCTTCCTCATTCACTGATGACTAACTAGACTCTCCGAAGACAGGTGCTGGCCTTGGGTTACCACCAGGCCTCTGGGCTCCTGACCACCTGCCTCTTCTACTTTGACACAAATGTGAGCACTGCCTAGCAGCAGGGAGAGGTAGGGCAAAGTTGATGCTATGAAGCGATGTACTGAGACATAAATATCCACTGCTGGGGCTTCTTGCTTTCTTATTAAACCTAAATTCCAAAAGGAAATTATTTAAACTACCTTCCAAATCTACTGATTAATTGCTCCAACAGTAGGGTATGAAGCAACGAATATTTAAAAGCAAACCAACCCCCAAAGTACAGAAAGCCTCAAGGGAATTGTTCCTCTACCTGAGCGCCGACGATGCCATTGCCCCCGTAGAAGTTCTTGGCATACATGTGCATCGATCCTCCTTTCCCCTTCGCACAACCTCCTCTTCGCCCTGCAATCACAGTACGCACCTGCATGAAGCAAGCCACACCCCAAGTTCTCACTCCGAGTCCCAATCGTTAGAACTCAGACACCAATTCAGCTATCTGGGTACCTGTCTCTCTTGGCAAATGTGTTCCCCCTTGTCTCCATAGCCTTTATTTTTAAAATCTTTTTTTTAAAGATTTGTTTATTTGAAAGAGTTAGAAGGAGAGGTAGAGAGAGAGAGGTCTTCCATCCGCTGGTTCACTTCCCAACTGGCTGCAACAGCTGGAGCTGCGCCAGTCCAAAGCCAGGAGCTTCTTCCATGTCTCCTACATGGGTGCAGGGGCCCAAGGACTTGGGCCATGTTCTATTGCTTTCCCGGGCCACAGCAGAGAGCTGGATCGGAAGTGGAGCAGCCGGGACTCAAACCAGCGCCCATACGGGATGCCGGCACTGCAGGCGGTGGCGGCTTTACCTGCTACGCCACAGCGCCGGCCCCTCTCCATATCCATTAGAAGGAAGCTCTCCATCTTTCCTGATCTCTAATCACTTAACCACCTTTCCATGCTAGTCTGGTGTCCTGGACTTTTTTTCAGGGTGACAAGCATCTACTGACTTCTGCACTGGTAAACTTAACAATTCAAGAGTTGTGAGGGACAAAGAGGGAGTGTTGGGAAGATGCCGAGACTACACTGCACATCACGCTGGGTTCAAGCCCATTGTTGCTAGATATCTGCTGGCATGCTTGAGTGACTACACGTGTTCTGCCGTCACAGCACTAACCTCTGGAACTTTTCCCCGAGAAGCTGAAGGACTTCCCAGAACGGTCAGTGCACTCCAAGGCACAACAGAGGTACCAGAGTAGCACCTGAGAAAGGAGTGTTTCTAAACTCGCTCCTAACAGCTAGCATCTTAAGGGCAGACGTTTGAACACTGAACCCGCTCCCGTCCCCTTTCTGTGAATCGAGAGCAAACCTGTGAGCTCTGCGAGAATCTCGCGGACAGAAAGGCCCCGAGTGAAGGTAAAGCCGTGAGCCCGATAGGCTGTGATGAGGTGGTCCGTGGGATTTATGCCGGCCTCCAGGCCCACACAGCAAGCTTCCTGCGTTAAAGGAGGAAAAGAACGTGAGGCTCTGATTCTGGATAAAGAGGTTTCCCAGACTGATATGAAACATGTATGCTAGAACTTGGCATTGATACCACAAAGTGGCTATTTTTCATCCAACACCACAGTGGCATGGAAGGCTCAACAAGCAGCTGTAAACTGGCAGCCAGACGTGCAATTTCCTTTAGCCTGCACAGCGATTTAAAAAAAAAACAACAACCTGGAAGTGATGTCGACATGCACCTGATTTTGTAACCCTTGGCCTAAACCTACCAAAACAAAACCAAATAACCCTTTCAAAAGTGAGTACAATACAGGAATTGAAATGTCCGAAAATTTTAAAACAGTAAAATTCTAAGAACAGGTACAGGAAATTAGCAATGTTATAAATGAATAAAAGGTGTTGGCATTCTAATTTTATTCTAAAAATATGAACCTCAGGTACTTAACACATACGACAAGGTAACATCAACAAACGAGAATCATACTTACCTACCTAAATGAGACAGTTTTAGTACAAACCTACACTCACCTGACCATCACACAAGTGACAGAAACCACGAATAATCTTCTGCTTATACAGCTGATCTGCCTTTAACTCCATTCGGCGCACAGTCTGCATCATCCTGTAATACTTGAGCCCATCCTCCCTGGTGAGCACTGTCGTGACAGGAGGGCCCTCTTCCAGCCGGTGAAGGTCACATTTCTGAAACAGAGTTAAGGCAGGCAGTCATCCTCGGGTTACCACGTAGCTAACGCTGCTGACTCATTCTGAGACCTCACTCCATCGCTAGTGCTATCAAACGCGGGAGACCGCCAAGGAGCGCATCAGAAATGCTTCCTTACTGCTCCTGATTCCTTCGCTCTGTACGCCTCTCTGTGCAAGGGGATGGATAGGGCTTCAGGGGGAGGGAAGTTGTTCTTAGTAGACTTTCACTGAAAACCCCTAGAAGTCAACTGAGCTATGGGGTGAAGCTTTCAAAGGAACATTTAGGAATGTTCATGTTCAAGTGTTTCACTCTAAACTTTGGAGTAAGTTTTTCTTCCTTTTAACCCCCCCCCCCCGGCCTCACCCATATCAGCAACATGCCAAGAATAACAAACTCTTAACTTTTGGTAAACAACTCTAACTTATGAAACATCTGGTAGAAAATGAAGAGTATCAAAAGGTCTATTCTAAATATAAAAGTTATAAAAACTGGACATCAGTGTGTACCTTTTGAAAAATTCTGAACACAACGTAAAAGCACCTCTCACCTTAATTTCGAAGGTAGCATCATTTGCAAAATTACGGGATGCCACCAGCACTCTGCTTGCCTTGAAAGAAAGAAAACACACAAACACATCATTATGTTTTGTCAGCCATCTTGGATAGTCAGAATTACTACTCAGTGATGATGTACTCATGGAACTTTAATAAACCCCAGCATATTCATGGGCTTCTCTCTCTTCCATTCTGTTCACGATGTTGGTCATCTTCCTCACCTTCCAAAATGAAGCCACACTCTGGCCAATAAAGCACAATCCCACCGCTATCTGAAGGCAGAAAGAAAGGTGGCAAAAACCAAACCTGTTCACTTTACCACTTTGTTTTCCAAGAATTCATGAGACAGGCTGGTGTTGTGGCACATGAGATTAAGTGTCTGCTTGCAACACTGGCATCCCACATAGGAATGTGGTGTGAGTCCCAGCTACTCTGTTTCCAATCCAGCTTCCCCGTAATGTGCCTGGGAAAGCAGAAGATGGCCCAAGTACTTGGCCCCTGCCAACCACTGGATGGAGTTCCTGGTCCAGTCCCGGCTGTTATGGGCATCTGGGGGAGTGAACCAGCAAATGGAAGATTCAAATAAATATGTGTGTTTTAAAAAGAAATTATGAGAACATAATGAAATTAATGGCTATACTGAAGAGCCTAGATAATCTGAGATGTATGCTTTTTTTTTGGGGGGGGGACAGGCAGAGTGGACAGTGAGAGAGAAAGGTCTTCCTTTGCCGTTGATTCACCCTCCAATGGCCGCCACGGCCAGCGTGCTGTGGCCGGCGCACCGTGCTGATCCAATGGCAGGAGCCAGGTACTTATCCTGGGGGTGCAGGGCCCAAGCACCTGGGCCATCCTCCACTGCACTCCCTGGCCACAGCAGAGAGCTGGCCTGGAAGAGGGGCAACCGGGACAGAATCCGGCGCCCCGACTGGGACTAGAACCCGCCTGGGACTAGAACCCGGGGTGCCAGTGCCGCTAGGCGGAGGATTAGCCTATTGAGCCGCGGCGCCGGCTGATTTATGCTATTCTTAAATCATAACTGGATACTGTTCATTTGAACAAGCTAAGAGTTTACTCTATCATACTTCAACTTAAACTATGATTTAATCCCTATTGCAGAGCCTAGTGGGTTAAGCTGCTGCTTGGGAGCCTGCATCACACATCCAGGTGCCAGGGTTCCATTCCCAGGTCTGCTTTCGATTCCAGCTTCCTAACATACCCCTGGGAGCAAGCAGCGGGTGACAGCTCCTGTGGCTGGGATTCTTCCCACCCATACCAGAGACCTCAACTGAGTTCCCGACTCCTGGCCTGGCCTGGCCTAGTTCCAGCTGCCGTAGGCATGTGTCGAGAGAACCAGTGGGTAGGGGTTCACTCTGTCTTATTCCCACTCTGAGCAAAGTTTACTTTTCTATGACATAGATCTGTAAGCAAAAATGTTTTAAACTAATTGATAAAAGCTCAGGGAAATGATTCCCTTTTACTTTTTTTGTTTTAAGATTTATTTGAAAGGCAGAGTTATAGAGAGGTGGGGGGTGGGGGACAGGCCTGCTGGTTCACTCCCCAGATGGCCGGAGCTGTGCCTATCCAAAGCCAGGAGCTTCTTCCGGGTCTCCCACATGGGTACAGGCACCCAAGGACCTGGGCCATCTTCCACTGCTTTCCCAGGTCAGAGCAGAGAGCTGGATGGGAAATAGAGTAGACAGGACTCAAACCGGTGCCCATATGGATGCTGGCACTCTGCAGGTGGAGGCTTTACCTGCTACGCCACAGCGCGGGGCCCTCATACATACACACATACACACACATACACACATATATATAGTTTTAAGAGCATATTGATACTTCCCACCCTATCTTCAGTCCCACTCTCCCTCTTCCTTCCTTATTTTTCTTTTAATTTTTACGACACATTTTTTTAATGTATGTATTTGAGGGCAGAGTTACAGAGAGAGAGAGGGAAAGACAAAGAGGGAGAGCGGCAGGCCTGCTGGTTCACTCCCCAGATGGCTGCAACAGCCAGAGCTGGGCTGATCTTAAGCCAGGAGCTTCCTCCAGGTCTCCCACTTGGGTGCAGGGGCCCAAGGACTTGGGCCATCTTCTATGGCTTTCTCAGGCCATAGCAGAGAGCTGGATCGGAAGTGGAGCAGCTGAGACTCCATCTGGTGCCCATATGGGATGCTGGCGCTGCAGGTGGTGGGTTTACCCGCTGCACCACAGTGCAGGCCCCTCCCTTTCACTCTTACAACTGAATACACCCACGCACAGCAAAAGCATTCTATGTGATAGTGGCTAAGGCTCAGGTTAGACCACAAAAACTTAACCCATTAGCATTACTGTAGTAGCATTCCATCCACTTTCTGCTACGTGTTCACAAACTACTATGTAAACCAGCGTGATTTCTCTTCATAGATACTTGACGTGCATTCATCAGATCCCATAAAAACAGGTTCTATGTGAACCAGTGTATTGCCTTACCAGCCTGCTTTTAGCACTAGACTTTATTTTGGTGAGAAGAGTTAATTAACATTGACTTGTTAAGTGTCCAAGCCAATAGGCAGAAAGCCAACACCTACTCATTTCTTCACCCATCAACACACGCATAAAGTCATGTCCCCTTACCCTCAGTGGACAACTGAAACCACAGAATAGAACCCAACCCTATATACTGGTCCAAGCCCTGGAATGTTGAGACCCTCCATCTGATGATTGAGACAGCAAGTAAATGACTAACAGGCAGGTCACACATAGAGTGTGGATATGCCACTCATACCTCAATCTGGACAGCACAAAATTTCGCCATGCGACTCAGAATGGCATACAATTTATTATTTCTGGAATTTTCCATCACTTTTGAACCATTGGCAATTCAAACCAAGGAAAGAGAAATCATAAATAAGAGAGGACTACTGTACCATTATCTGATAGAACCAACAGGCAATGACACAGCCAAAGGGGAAAAGTACCAGGAATCAATGCTTCAATTAAGTTAGAGGAAGTCCATTAATGTGTCTCAGAATAAGTAAAGGTGACGGGGTGAGGTAGCAAACAAAAGGTTATGTTTGGCAATCATGAAATGATGTTATTTTTGGCGGCTAACAAATTATTTGAGGGACCAGAAATACTGTGAAATAAGTTTCTAGATACAACTGCAGAAACTGCAGTCTTTGGAAGCATTTAAATGTAGGGACCAAACCAGGCAGGAAATAATAACAAAGAAAAAGCTAAACAACTTCTCAATTCTAAAGTAAAAACAATGAAGAATGAAGAATGAAGTGCTTATACCGGAGTGCAGGAAGGGCCAAGGTTCTGATTGACAGCTACTTCCTTTCTCTGCTTGTTGCATTATTATGAACCTCAAAAAACTAAGAACCACTGATACAGCGGGAAGAAGGAGCAAAGTTAAGAAAGCTAAAAGTCCTATCAGAAGCACAAGTACTGTAACTTTTAACTGAGATTGCTGAAAAGGTTACCATTGATTTTCTCTGGAGAGCTGTCAAACTTTGAGACCATGAGCCATTCATATTTCGGCATATAAAAACTTTTTAAAAATTTATTTATTTGAAAAGCAGTTACATAGAGGCAGAGAAAGAGAGCGAGAGATCGTACATCAGTTGGTTCACTCCTCAAATGGCCACAATGGCCAGAGCTGAGTCCATCTGAAGCCAGGAGCAGCTTCTGGGTCTCCCTCACGGGTGCAGGGGCCCAAGGACTCGGGCCATCTTCCACTGCTTTCCCAGGCCACAGCAGAGAGCTGGATTGGAAGTGGAGCAGCTGGGACTTGAAGCAGCGCCCATATGGGATGCCGGCACTGCAGGCGGTGGTTTTACCCACTACGCCACAGTGCCGGCCCCCAAATAAAAACTTGAGTTCCTAAATACATTAGAAGCATTCAAGTGAAAAACAAGGGGAAAAACATTTCAAAAATTCCAGATTCCACCAATGGCAAATAGAAATCTTACCTATTATTTAAAAAGCCAAAAGAATACTAGGAGTAAAGATCTCCAAGGGTGCCAGTCTTGTTGTGTAGTGGGCTAAGCCGCCACTATGATGCTGGCATCCCATATGGGCACCAGTTCATGTGCCGGCTGCTTCACTTTTGATCCAGCTCCCTGCTAATGACCTGGGGAAAGCAGTGGAAGATGGCCTAAGTGCCTGGGCCCCACAACCCAAGTGGGAGACCTGGAAGAAGGTCCTGGCTCCTGGCTTCAGCCTGGTCCAGCCCCAGCCGTTGAAGCCATCTGGGGAGTGAACCAGCAGATAGAAGATTCTCTCTCCTCAACTCTTTCAAATTAATAAATAAATCTTAAAAAAAAAAAAAAAAAAAGTATCTCACGTCATTGAGGCCAGTGCTGTGGCAGTGTCAGGCTGACACTTGTTTCAGAATGCCAGTTTGAGTCCTGGCTGATCCAGCACCCTGCTAATAAACCTGGGAAGGCAACGGAAGATGGCCCAAGTGCTCAGGAAACCTGCTACCCACATGGGAGACCTGGATGGAGTTCCCAGCTCTGGTTTCAGCTCAGCCCAGCCCTGGCTGTTGTGGCCATTTGAGGAGAGACTCAATGACTAGCAGTTCTTTCTCTTTCTCTCTCTCTCTCTCTGCCTTTCAAATAAACCTCTTTAAAAAAAAGAAGTCGCAACAAATAAAAACACTAAGACAAAGATTATGATTTTAAATGCAATTCAGTCTTCTATAAGAATTTTTAAAACTATCAATTTAATTCAAAAATAAATCACAAGCTTGTAATTCATTCAAAGTTTCCTGCCAAACATGTCATGATACAATGATAATCGACAAGCCTGAGATAAATCACCATACATCCCTGGTTTTAAGAGGAGAAAAGAAAAAAAAAATGAAAAGGGGAAAAAACAGAGTTCTGGAAGGCAAGATAGGGCACAATGTGGATAAAGTGTCACAACCATCAATCAAACGAACCACTTGACCTTTCTCCATCCCCTCCCTCTCTGAGTATCACACAGATGGTGCAACTCTAGTACCCAATTTGCCTAATTTAGGTTAGTCGCAGTTGATTATTATCAGGATTTTTGAAAGGCTTATTTGCAAAAAATATTTTTACATATATATGAAAGTAAAAACCTTGATTATTTTGTTTTTTATATTTAAATAAAAAGACATCCATAAGTATGAAAAAAATCACAAAATATAGTTATTCTCAGGGGTTGGCCATTTAGCATAGCAGTTAGGATGCTGGTTGGGACACCTGAATCCCACTGTACCCGGGTTCAAGACCCAGCTCCACTCCCAAGTCCAGCTTCCTGCTACATGTACTCTGGGAAGCAGCAGTCATGGCTCAAATAGTTGGGTTCCTGCCAACCACATGGGAGACCTACACTAAGATTCTGGCTCCCGCTCCCGCTGGCTCAGCTCCAGCCATTGCAGATATTGAATGAGCAAACAGAAGATCTCTCTCAGTCCATCTCTGCCTTTCAAATAAAATGTGTAAACCCTGACACATTGGTTTATTACTCCATCCTTTAAAAAGATAAAGGTGAAACATCTGGTCCTTACCATCTTCAGAAGTTTCAGAAATGCCTCCTAGTTGACTAGCACGTGACACGTATAGTCACACAGAAAACTATCTGTAGAGTTTGCACCAAGTGGGAAGCTGCCTGGGTACTTTAGGGTGACCTGACTGCTGGAACTCAATTTTTTTTCCTACTGGAAGGTAGGGGAAAAGAATAAACCTGAGTGCCTAATAATAACGATTTAAGGGTGTTTCTGAGCCCCTAAGTACTGGTACATCTACAAACCGGTATCACCAAAAGGGATGACTTAGAGAAAAGGCAGAAACTCTGCTAGCAAGGTTTGACAGTGGAAACTTTTTATCTATTAGTTTCCAATCGCAATTCAAATTCTTGACACCTCCCAAGTTTAACTTTGAAGTTCCTGGGAAACTGTTTCTTTCCACTAAGTGCGAAGCTTCAATAACAAAGTTTCTACTGCTTTTGCACTTCTAGTCTATCCAATCTCACAGCAGAAAGGAAAGGCCACTTAACTTCTGCAGATAACTAAAGCACTGCACAATGCTGCAAACACGTTTCTACTGCTGTTTTTCCACTAAAAACCAATGCTAGGGGATTCAACGAGATAAAGCTGGGAGGTATCTACTAGTGCCTAGCACATACTGCGAGCTCAAGAAATGGTGGCTGGAGCCTGCGTGTGGGCAGAAAAAAGGAATGCCCCTTGTGCTTCGCCATCAGGTCAATCCCAGTACAATTCCAAGGTCAATACAGTTCTGATCAATCAAATTCTCCTGTAAATCTTAGTAAATGGGATTCCTAGAGGGGTTCAGCCGCTACCTTTTGACAACCTCTGCCCAGACTAGGCACAGCTGCATCGAGTCCTGGGAGAATTACTAGAACCGGAATTACAAGTCAAAGCTTGGCTCTGCAGTTATACCAAGTAACCCCATCTCACTGTGCCCAGAGGTCAAAATGCTAGCAGCTCAGGTGAAAGGCGCATCTGAAAACTGGGGCTGCAAATAGCTTAAGTGCGATTTCCTTTAGCCACCTTTACCCTAAGGGGATGTGTGTACGTCCCCCCCCCCCCGCACTTAAGGGGGGAGAGCAGTTTCCTGTGGGTTCCGCTGGACCGCTTTCCACTGCCAAGAAAAGTTAAGCCGGAGAGGAAGTGGGTTCCTGGGGAGCGTGACCACGTCTAAACCCTCAGACACCCACAAACGTACACCAAACTGGGCGGTCAACACAGAGTACCCACTATGTGCCAGGTGCTAGTCGGAAACGTTTACGCACGCGTCACTCGTAGAATCCTCAGACAACCCCACGAGGTAGGTACCCTCATATACATTTTAGAGATAAGGACACTGGGCGGGGTGGAAGGTGGGGGGGGGCGTTCAAAACTTGCCCAAGCTCACAGGACTGCTGTTTGAATTCCAGCCAGTTCGTTTCCGGATTCCACGCTCTTTACTAACACCCACTAAAGGACCTCTCAGCCAAGACAAACATTAAGTTAGGGAGAACTGAAATGAGTGGGGTCAAGTGAAGACTCTTACAAGCTTAAGGCACCCCCTCCATACCCTGCAACCAACGGGCACTTTTCGAGCACACCTAATCGCTCCGCGCGGAGCTGGGCTCGGGGAGAGCCGGAGAGTCGTGACCGATCTCCACGCGGACCCGGCAGGGGTTGCCCCCCCTCCCCAGTCGGCCGCCCAGCGCCGTTCCCCCCCGAGACTAGACGCAGAATGCACGGCGTGGAGGCAAAAGCAAAAGCCCGCAGCTCCCCCGGCTCCCCGCCGCATCTTTTACTCAGCGCCCAATCCAAGCAGCGCGTCTAACTGCGAGCCCCGAGGCCCGGCCCGCCCTTCGGCCTCCTCCGGCACCGCCTCGGTCCCGTTCGCGCTCCATCCCGATCCGTCCAGGCCGCTGGCTCGGGCCGCCTCACCGGCTTCTGGGCAGCGCCAGACAACACGCGGGAGACAGCGGCCAGCATCTTCCTCATGGAGCGCAAAGAAGCTGCAACAACGGCGACTCCCAAACTGCCCAAGGGGAACTGCTAAGCCGACCCCAAGTCTCCTTCAGGCGCCCCAGCAGAAGCCACGCCTTAAACGCAACGCGACGTGGCGTCGGAATGACGTCATGCGCCGCGCCGGGCCGCGGGCCAACCAGGACGGCTCCCAGGCTGTGTTCCGCCCACTTGAAAGGCCTGCGACCACCCATTGTGTGTCGGCGCCATGGGGGGCGGAGTTGCGGCTTCCTCGCGTCACCATGCGGCGGGAGAGGGAGGGGTCGACTATCTGAAGGCGCCTGCGTGGGAGAGTGGGTCCCCGCCTCCAGCCTTCTGGTTGGATTCTGCGCAGACGACGGTGGTAGCCTTCAGGCTGGTCCTGACGTGTGGCTGGTCCTGCTGGTGCTGTAACTGCAGCCTTGGCTCTGCACACGAGATGATGAAGATTAGCAGCCTAGCCGGGGCCGAAAGATAGACGGTACAGTCTTTGTAAGTGATTCTGCCACTAACTTGGCTTTAAAAGATCACGTAATACAATCTGGTCTCCCACGTGGTTGGCAGGGATCCAACTACTAGAGCGGAGCCGTCACCTGCTGCCTAGCAGGGTGCGCTCTGCTTTTCAAAGAAAAACAAATAGGTAAAGGATCACATAACAGTTGTAAAATGCTGCTGATTCCCCAACTAAATACTGAGGAGTCAGTGGGAAAAACCTTTTGGCTCTACTTACTGATTCAGAAGCTCAAAGAGAGTTAACAGCAGGACACAGCCAAAGATAAAAGGACACAGAGAAACAGACTCCAAAGCAACTGGGCTCTGTAGAGAGGAGTCAGGGCTCAGAAACCCATCCTGCTGGGCCCTGCTGGAATTGCACCTAAGGTTCTGGGTTCTGAATTGGCTCCATTTAAAGAAGGATAATGACAAAAATGAGTGGCATCCAGAGGATGGCGGTCACAATGATGAGGGGCTTAGACTGTGACTTGCGAGGAATGACTCAAGGAGTTAGGAAGAAACTGGACTGATTTAGAGTGAGCTAGGTTATGTTGCTGTAACACTCAACCCCAAATTTTAGTCTCTTTAAGAACATCAAGTGACTGGCCAGCGCTGCGCCTCACTAGGCTAATCCTCCGCCTTGCGGTGCCGGCACACCCGGTTCTAGTCCCGGTCGGAGCGCCGGATTCTGTCCCGGTTGCCCCTCTTCCAGGCCAGCTCTCTGCTGTGGCCAGGGAGTGCAGTGGAGGATGGCCCAAGTGCTTGGGCCCTGCACCTCATGGGAGACCAGGAGAAGCACCTGGCTCCTGCCTTCGGATCAGCGCAGTGCACCGGCCGCGGCGGCCATTGGAGGGTGAACCAACAGTAAAAGGAAGACCTTTCTCTCTGTCTCTCTCTCTCACTGTCCACTCTGCATGTCAAAAAAAAAAAAAAAAAACATGAAGTGACTTAGCTTGTTCATACCACAACTTCCACAGCTTGGCTGGGACTGCACTCCATGTCATTTCTCTGGAACCTTGAGTGATGGAGCAACCTCTGTCTGGAACTTAGCTTGTCTCACGGTGAAGGGAAAAGCTGTCACTTCGAATGGCTCTCAGAGCTTCTGCCTGAGATCAGCGTAGTGGTGGAGTGGGCTAAGCCAATGCCTGCGATGCCAGCATCCCATATAACCACCAGCTGAAGTCCCAACTGCTCTGCTTCCAATCCAACTCCCTGGTAATGCACCTAGGAAAGCAGCAGAGGAGCAGAGGATGGCCCGAGTACCAGGATGATGTGTTGGGCTCCTGCCTTCAGCCTGGCCCAGCCCTGGCTGTTGCAGCCATTTACTAACCAGCAGATAGAAGGCCTCCCCTCCTCCTCTGTCACTCACACCTTTCAAATCTTTCTTAAAAAAAAAAAAAAAGAATGATCTAACCCGTAAGACATATTTGTTTGTTTGTTTGTTTGTTTTTAAAAAAAAAGCTTCTGCCAGAAGTAACACATATCACTTCCTCTAATGTGCAGGAGGGAGACCAGAAAATTGGGTGGACAGCAACAGTGTAGAGGACTTGGTACGTCTTCACACTTGTACTTCCATGACCAGGTTGCCACGCGATGAGCGCTCCCTAAAGGCTGAGAGGGACGGGATGGCAGTGAAGCAGGCTGCCCAGCGTGGCCTCCGCAGATGCTGCTGCTGCCAGAATGTGGAAGCTGGAGAAAGGAGAATGAGAAGAGTGCGAGGCCAGATGGCCAGTTTAGAGAAGCCGGCCTGACCGTTTGTGGACCTGCTGGCCTGCAGGCAGTGGTGGGACAGCTCCCCGAAGTTGTCCCCCAGCAAGTGGCAGTTGTAAGTCTAGGACACAAGCTAGAAATATAAATTTGGGAGTCATCTGCATAGAGCTGACATTGGTTGTGTGCGTCCAGGAGCCCTGTCGGCTCTATGCATACACATGCATTCATTCTTGCATTCCTTCAACACCTATTTGTTAGACACCAATTCTGAGTCAGGCATTGGAGTAGGCACAGGGAGGGGGGAAAGAGCAAGGAATAGAGTCCCCAGTCCCACAGAGCTTACAGTCTAGTAGGGGGTTAATAAGTGCACATAAGTATATATTACAGGGGCATATAATGCAGGCAATAAATGGTATGACAAAAATTAAACAAGATAAGGGAATAACAGGAGTGACGTTAGAAGGGCCCCTGTTACCATGTCTTGTCCGTGTCCTGGTTGGGGAACGGCTTCACCTGTCTTGGACTGGTTACTCAGTACAGAAATAAAAAGTCTGAAAGAGAGAGCAAAAGTGGAAGCGAGTGTATCAGTGATAAGCAACAAAAGCACCCCACTTGGATGAGGGCCCCCAGAGCTGGGGGATGGTCTCTTTTATGTTATTTCCTTCTCCCTCTCTCCTTATCTGACATAGGGGCCCTTCACCTAGTGCATGCAATAGGAGTCCTGTTTGGATGGGCTCCCCTGCCTTTGTCCAAGAGCACAGCAGGGGGTCTCTAATCCGATTCCCTGGAGGGATGGAATTTCCCACAATTTGCCCAAGGTCTGCTCTTTTTCTTCTAACCCTGCCTCAGCTGCCCTCTTTCCATACATCTGCCCGCTCTGAGAGGACCACCCAGCTGCCACTGCTTATAAGGGTCGATGGCTGCTCTAGCCGCTTCGTGCTGTCCAGGGGTGAAAGAGGGAAGTTGGCTGGTCCCCTTGGGTCTGCTGACCAAGTGGGCCTCGGTAGAAGTCCTCAGGACATCTGTGTTTCCAGCTGAACGACCAGCTGCCTCTTAAGAGCACCTGTCCTGTTGGAGACAAGTTGTACCAGTCAATTAAACAAGCAGGGGCAAGAAGCATACAGGAGGAGTGGAGAAGTTACGACAGGAATGAAGGGGCCCTCTCTCAACTGACATCCTTGGAGCAGAAATTCTGTACAATCGTGTGTATTTTTATTTGTTTTCTCGGGCAGGCAAGTGGCTGGGTTTAGCCCCTGACAAGTCTTTTGATGATATCAGGCCCTTTGAGTAAAACAGCCTGATATTTAGTAATGCAGACATCTGAAACTCACGATATACTTGTGAGTTTACCAATAGGGATTTGATCATTAAAGGCATTCTTTGTGTTATTTAAATGGCCCCGGGCACCAGAATCCCCAAAGCTGCCACTACTGTAGGCAAGCTGGCCATCCTCTGGCCATTGTGTCCAATTCCTTGCTTAAATATGCAATGGTTTGGGGGGATGGTCCCAAAGACTGAGTGAGGACATCCAGGACTATTCCATTATGCTCAGTGAGAAAGAGAGTATACCTCGCCTGGGTGGGGAGTCCCAAAGTTGGGGCATCTAGTAGTGTCTGTTTTAAGGATGCAAATGCAATATTGCCCTCAGGTTCCCTTGAGAGGAAGGCGGGTTCCTGCCTATTTGGTTTCCCTAAGGAGCCAGTATACAGGCCTTGCCTTTTCCTTGTATCCTGGGATCCAAATTCTGTAAAACCCAGTCAATCTTAGGAAGGCATTTAGTTGTTCTAAAGTCTGGGGTCGAGGAAAGTGCTGAATGGGTTGTATTTGTTCTCTGCTTACAGCTCTTTGTCCTTTTGAAATTATCAAGCCCAGATACTTGACCTGGGATTGACAAATCTGGGTCTTTTCTCTAGTTACTTTATATCCTCTTCAGCCTAGAAAATCCAATAATGATTCAGTCCCTTCACAGACTATGTCTTGGGTGGGCTTGCAAATTGTCTGGTCATCTACATATTGTAGTAAGGAGATTCGAATATCATTCCAGTCCATGAAATATTTGGGGAGGGTCAGGCCAAAAAAGGTGAGGGCTAGCCCTGAGCCCTTGGGGGTGAACTGTCTATAGATTTTCAAAAGCAAAAAGAGGCTGGCTCTTTGGGTCTAGCGGTATGTATAGGAAGGCGTCTTTAGGGTCCAGTACAGAATTGAAGATGGAAGTTTCAGTCTCTGAGTTGGGAGGGTATAAGGATTGGGAACTACTGGATGGAATGGGACCACTGCCTCATTAATGATCATCAGGTATTCTATCATTCTCCATTTATCTGTCTCCTTTTTGATGCCCATGATGGGTGAATTGTAGGGGCTGACACATTCCTTAAGTATTCCCCGTTCAAGGAGGCTCCTAATGATAGGCTCTAAGCCTCTTTTGGAGAGAATATTGGGCAGGATCTTTAAGTTTGACTTTTACAGGAGTTGCTGCTTTTGCCTGTCCCATAGCTTTCCCATTTGCCCACACCTGAGAGCCTACCATTAGCTGGAGGAGGGGAAAACACCCTGTGACTCCTGGTGGTAATAGGAGCTGTACATGAGTCTCGGAAAGGATGTCTTGGCCTAATAGTGGATCAGGTCTTCCCAAAAACAAGCAGCAGGTTGAGAGAAATCTCTATGGGTTGCCCAGAACCTCCCTAGATGGCCACCTTATTATAAGACCTAGGTCCAGGGGAGAAGGGAATGGCAGAAAAATGGACTTCTGTATCGATCAGGAAGTTTACCGGTTGGCCCCCTGCTGTAAGTGTCACCTGGGGCTCCTCAAGTTATACTGGAATGATGGGAGCCCATAGACTATGCCCTGGGGATCTTCACTGGTCATAGTCGTTGGCCCCAGTCCCCCTGGGGCCTAGGGACAACTT